TCTGCTGCCCCTGCGACCCGGCCCCGGATAAAGCGGAAGAAGATGGATGGATGGATGTTTAACTTCATGCTTTTCTGAATAGTTTCTGAATGCTTAGAACTCAAATTGCACTGCTGGAAATAGGTTATTTTGATGCACATGCTGTTTTCTTTGCAAATTTGCATAATAGGATTGTTTTTTGTTTTTTCTGCAGTATATAAAAATTGGTGTATCTCAAAAATAAAACTATGGGCTATAACAGTTGTGTTGATGTATAGCAACTTGAAATGCTCCCAAAAATGGCACTACAGCATGTAAAAATATAAAGTAAGCTCGGTTCTATGGTAGGTCTTAAAGGGTTAAGGAATTTTTAATCATTAAAAAGTATATTGGAAAACATTATATCATTGTTGTGAAATATAAGCAGACTGATGAGGCGCATGATATGTTGACAGTGAAAGTTGGCCTCAGCAGGACGTTTCAGTTCCTCTCCCCTCATCAGTGACAGTCAGGAGGTTTTTGTACAGCCATGTATACAAACTGAATCACTGTGGTATTCGGACAAGGCACCAAGCTGATTGTGACAAGTAAGTGCTGTTTAAATTGATCCTGAAACATTAGAAGATTTCCGATAGTTTACTGAAAAGTTCTTAATTTAATATTTTTATTGTTCATAATCTTTTTTTATATATTTATAGTATCTGATGCAGAGCCAACTCGTATTTTATACGTTAGACATGATTATGAGTTGTATTAAAATCAAGAAATGTTTTCAATCAATTTAAAAAAATGTTGTTTACTGAAAAAGTGAAAAATTTTGTCATTCAATCTTGCTATTTTCAAAGCATTTTAATTTTTAAAGAATGCATAAGTCTATGTTGTCTTTTCTCATTAAGAGTTTTACCTAATTTAAACATTAATGTAAAGTACAAAATTTAAAAATATCTGGCTTTAAACCTGTCACCTTTGAAATTGAAGGGAATGACTTGCATTGTATAGCATATGATTGCTTGACATATCCTCCAGAATTAAATTAAATTCTCTTTAATGTAAAATTAGGGCTTAATTTAGTTTTGTTTTATTTTTTTGACAGTTTTTAAAACCAGTTGAAAATGTGTGATTACCTGTTTATTTATTTGTTTTTACAGATAAACTGTTTATATTGTTTGATTTTTACGGAATGTATCTTTATTCTGTATTAAATCTTGTTGATTTTTTCACCACTTCTACTTTTATTACTTCAGTTCTGTTTTTCCTGAACATCTTTCATCCTTCATGTATTTTCAGGCTCCAGCCTCCTTCCTCCTGTCCTGACAGTCTTCCCTCCGTCCAGTGCTGAGCTCCAGTCCAACACAGCTTCTCTGGTCTGTCTGTCCAGTCAGTCTGTGAAATTTGCAGATGTGAGCTGGTTGGCTGCTGGGAGTCCAGTGAGCAGTGGGATCTCTACCAGCACTGCTGTTCAGAGACCAGACCAGACTTACCAAATCAGCAGCTCTCTGACCATCCAGACATCAGACTGGAACATGGATAAGCTTTATACATGTAAAGTGTCTTTGGGCTCACAGACTTCAGAGAAAACCATCAAGAAGTCAGAATGTCCCACTGAATAGTCAAGGATCAGAATTTTAAGGCATTTAAATTCAGCTTTTTCACTATTTGTGCTGTTTGCTTATTGCAAAACTGATATTTTAGAAATCAGAATAAAGCAAAAGGTTCACATCATTTGTTCATTTGCATTTTCATGAACAGATATTTGCAGTTGTTATGCATTAAATCAATAAAAGCATCGGTTTAAAAATCACTGTTTCCTTGTTCTAAAATAAAAAAAAATTCTTACACCGTTTCACTGAGGGGCACACAGAGGAAAACGATCCATTTATAAGCACATAATTTTTAAAATGTTTTTCGTCATAATTAAGACATAAAGTCATTCTGAAATGCATGCTGTGAGGCATTTGTACACTAGAGAGCATCACTTCATAATTTTACCTGAGTACAGAGAGAAAAAGTGTCACTGGTTTGAAATGTTGGTTTGAGAATTGCAGATAAATCTTCACACTCAGTTAGTGATGCGTCAACTCTCAACTCCTCCCTCTCTTCCTGCCCTGTATGCACCTGCAGATCTCAGCATTTTATTTATAACTACACATGTAAATTAAGATGTACCAGCTCTCTGTAAAATAAAATGGAAGCTGCTTAATGGAAATTTTTTATTACTAAAATCTGGTTATTCAGAAACAGTCAGCTGAATACTCTTTCATTGGTACAAACTTACCTTTACGTATTGATTAAAAAGACTAAAGAGAGTCCATTGCTGTGCTTTTTCTTATCACTTTTTCTTCCTGACATTTGTGCTGCTGTAACAAGTGAATCTCCCCAGTGTAGTAATAATAAAGCCCATGTCTATTTATATCTGTCTGACTTAACTTATATAACCTGACCCACTGCCATATGCAGGTTTGCTTTGGAAGTTTTTTGACTTTTGAAAGTCTTGTCATTATTATATGTATTTTTTCAGGACTTTTATGGTTTCTTTTTACTGTTGCATCTTATTGCTTTTCTCTATGTGGGCAATTCAAACACAAAGCTGTTTATTATTTCCTTTTCTTTTAAAAGTCACCATCAACTGTCTTTTAGACGTCACATTAATCCCTTTGGGGGTTTTGTGAGTAAGGACATCCAGCATCAAAGTCTGCCAAGTCTAACAAGCAGAGCTCATTGCTACGCCACACCTTGTGATTTCAGTAGCAGCCAAAAGCACTGCTGATTTAAAAACAACAAATGCATTCTTTATTTTCTGACATTTGATTTGCTGCATGTCATCAAATGGTTTAACAATTAAAAAAGAAAAGTGCCCCAAACGTTGCTCATTAACTTTAATATACAAGGATGATCTACAGAAAGCTGAAGCTGAATTTCTGCACTTGTGACATCTCTTGTTAATGAACTTCAGAATGCTTGTCAGGGTCCCCGAGCAGTTATGAATTATATTGTGTTATGTATATGTATTTGTTATTATGTATGAGGTAGTATGAGGCCTGTCAAGCAGCGTTTTTATATGAAAATAAATTTACATTTGAGAATGTTTTCAGTCGGAGACAGTCCCCTCTTACTTGACACTTAGAATCTCACCACTTGATTTGCATAAAACTCTAAATACAGACAAGAAGCCTGCAGGTGCATCCTGGAAATAGAGAGAAGGAGGTGTACAATAGATGATGCCTCACTGACAGTCAAAGAAAATTCAGTTTCATTTAATACTCATCTTTTTTCAAACCTCTTTACTATTGCAGGTAAGTTAAACTAGAACAACAAATATGACAAAAAGGGGAAATACAAGATGCACATCAATCATTTTGTTACAATATTTTTTTATTATTATTTTGCTGAATAAACATATAGCAAAGGCCAGTAGAGCACATAAATCAAACAGTCACAACAGTAACTGCT